TCTCTCTCTCTCTCTCTCTCTCTCTCTCTCTCTCTCTCTCTCTCTCTCTCTGTGTGTGTGTGTGTGTGTGTGTGTCCCAGAAGCAACCCAGAGCCACAGACTGAAATTTCTGGAGACACAAGTCACAACACAGGCCCTCCTTTAAAGGTGATCTTCTGTCAGGATGATGCAGCTGACTAACACAAAACTCGTGGCCTTTTTTTCTTACATCAAAGTCACGCGGTCACCAGTATATTGAGGGAAAAAAAGCAACTCATAGAGCCATATTGACAGTGCGATACATTTTGTATTTCCTAAGATTACACATGGTACTCATTTATGCATGAACACCTTTAGGAAGACCACAGAAGCTGTGTGAAAAGGTTGCTTCTGAGACAAGACACTAGGAGTACAGTCAGAAGCGACATTGCTTTTCACTGCTCCTGTTCATGTACAAGTAAAGAATAAAGAAAGAATATCCTGGAAAACAAAGCAAAATACACAAAAATGGGCACCCTGAACATAAGCAAAATGGGGCCACATTGCTGGTTTCCAGAGTGGCAAAGAGAGAACAAAGCCTCAAGTCCAACCCAGTCAATGGAACTTGCCATTCCTGGACTTTCAGTGAGCTCCAGTGCTGGCCCAGGACAACTACAATGTGGTAAATATTGCAAGGGAGACATGGGATATGAAACAGGGGTCACTTGGGAGAGGACAGGGAATGCAAGGTAGAGCCTTTTCAGGGAGTTGGGGGAAGGAAGAAGAGAAAAGGGAAAAGGGGGTAGGAAGGAAAGACACTTTTGGAGCATCCGGTGCAAAGTGAGGCATAACAGAAGACTCTTCTCGTAACTTGGCTCCAGGTAGAATGAACTCAGATGGACAATGAAATCAGCTGGGCCATTCTTAATTCCTGAGTGTGCAGATAGTTTAGACCTGTGAGAGCCATTTTATTTAGAAGCAAGGAGTGACTTTAAAAAAAAATGGTACCATGGTACCTAGGAGCAATTGCTTTTTTCCCCTCTTCTTTAGCGGTGTCTGAAGACTGAGCTCAGGCCATGGCAATGACTTATGGACAGGGCTGTGGGTAGGGGTAGTCTATGGGTAGGAATGGGCTGTGAATAGGGATGGGTTGTGGGTAAGGGTGGGCTTTGGGTAGGGATAGTCTTGAATAGGTGTGGTCTATGGGTAGGGATGAACTGTGGGTAGGGGTGGTCTATGGGTAGATGTGGTCTATGGGTAGGGGTAGTCTTGGGTACGTGTGGTCTATGGGTAGGGGTAGTCTTGGGTAGGTGTGGTCTATTGATAGGGGTAGTCTTGGGTAGGTGTGGTCTATGGGTAGGGGTGGGCTTTGGTTAGGGGTGGGCTGTGGCTAGGGATGATCTATGGGTAGATGTGGTCTGTGGGTAGGTGTGGTCCATGGGTAAGGGGCGGTCTGTAGGTAGGGAATCGACTGTGCTCTTACTTGAAAATGAAAAGAGTGACACTGGAGGTGACTGGGTTGATTGAGTTAGGACACTGGAGCCAGGACAACACAGTAGGAGTGGCCCTCATTCTTCTTTCCTGATAGATGTTACAACTGCCCGACCCCAGCAGGATGAAGCAGAGTCTGACTGAGACATCATGAGGTATGATTTGAGTCTTGACATTTCTGCTCATTTCTGGGAAACTGGAGTCTCTTGTGAGCACTGACAGCTAGGGCTGACAGCTGACATTTGACCTGCTACCTAACTAGTGGTAGATCCCAGTGATGGTGTGGGATCAAAGAGGCATAACAGAAGACTCTTCTCCCGATTTGTATCCAGGTAGAATGAACTCAGATAAGCAATGAAATTAGCTGGGCTATTCTTAATTCCTGAGTGTGCAGAGTGTGCAAATAGTTTAGACCTATGAGAGCCATTTTATTTAGAAGCAAGAAGTGACTTTTAAAAAAAATGGTACCATGGTACCTAGGAACGATTGCCTTTTTTTCTCTTCTTTAGAGCAACAGACTTTCTGTTGTTGTTGTTGTTGTTGTTGTTGAAGGCACTTGAAGATTGGAGTTTAAATTCAACTGGAAAGTGGTCACTGACATCCAGGGCCTATAAGGAGAAAATAGAAGTAGATTTGGGAGTTAGGGAATGCCTGGGACATTATTGCAGCCTTGGCAATGACCAAATTCAGGAGTAGAGAGGGAAGATGAAATGTCTGAGGTCATCAGGTAGAATTGATGAGTGTTGCTCTTGGTCCTGCTACTGGGAAATTTGGCAGGCCTTCAAATCATAGAATTCTAGGTCTTTAGACTCAAGAGCATCGCTCCCACATTTCCAGGCTGGTGGACCAGAAAGACCAGGTGATAATCTTACCTCCTCTTCAGACAACTGATAAGTTTTCTGGAAGTCAAAGACGCCATTTGAGTTGGGAATCACGGAGTTGACTATCTCCTGTCCTCGAAGCACAATCCTAGAGAGAGGACAAGGGAATAGATTAGTCAAAGCTGTGAACTTCTCAGATAAAAGGGAGGGCTGATTTTGACTCTGGAATTGATTGGACAGCCTACCCATTTCGTGTAGTGGGTGTTCTGTGTTCACAACTACATTTAGCTTGCCACCTTGACTGGTTAGTTTTGGTAAACTTGTCACCAAGCTAGAAATATCTGGGAAGAAGGAACCTCACTTGAGGAATTTTCTTCATCAGGATGGCCTGTGGGCATGTCTGTGGGGGTATTTTTTTTTTTTTTACTGTTAATTGATATAGGAGGATCTAGTCCACTGTGTGTGGTACCATACTTAGGCAGGTGGGTCTGAGCTGTAGTAGTCCACTAGTTCAGTTTTGTTTATTGAAATCATTGATAAAACACTCACAGATGAGTAAAGAACTGCTGGAAGTATCACTAGCCCCACTATCAAATTGTCTGCAGAGCTACAATAATAAAACCAGCATGGTATTGGCACAAAAACAGACATGCTGATCAGTAAAATAGAGATGACGATCCAGAAATAAGTCCACATACTCATGGATACCCGATTTTTGATAGAGAAGCCAGAAATATACACTAGAAAAAGTGGCAGTATCTTCAACAACATCATCAGGGAAATGCAAATCAAAGCTACTTTGAGATTCCATCTTACACCTGTCAGAATGACTGAGAACAATAACACAAGTGACAACTCATCCTGATAAGGATGTGGAGTAAAGGAAACACTCTTCCATTGCTAGTGGAAGTGCAAACTTGTTTGCCACTATGAAAATTAGTGCGGCAGTTTAATCAGAAAGATAGGAATTGAAAGAAAAATCCATCCATCAGCTATGGTCATTTCTGCTCTATTCATAATAGCCAGAAATTGGAAACAATCTAGATATTCATCAATGGTTGAATGGATAAAGTAAATGTAGTAAATTCACAGAATGGAATATTACTCAGCTATTAGAAATGAAAATTTCTGATGGGTGGTGGTGGTGTACATTTATAACCCTAGCATTTAGGAAGAAGAGGCAGGCAAATTACTCTGAGATAGGGGCCAGCCTGGTCTACAGAGTGAGTTCCAGGATAGCCAAGTTTACACTGTCTGGAGTTAGAGAGAGAGAGAGAGAGAGAGAGAGAGAGAGAGAGAGAAAGGGAAGGAGGGAGGGAGAGAGGAAGGAAGGAAGGAAGGAAGGAAGGAAGGAAGGAAGGAAGGAAGGAAGGAAGGAAAGAGATTTACAGGTAAATGAATTGAACTAAGCAAAAATCATTCTAAGTGAGGTAACTTAGACCCAGAAAGGCAAACAGTATTATTCACTTCTATGTCGATGTTAGCTGTTAAGTCACTGATAAGCAAGCTACACTCTGTAGAACCACAAAGGTTAGGTAGAGAGTAAGGTATGAAGGGAGAGATGAATTCCCCCCAGGAAAGGGAAATAGAATAGATATTTATGGATGAATGATGTGGGGGGATTGAAATGAGAGGATCAGACAGGGAAGGGAAGGGAAGAAATAAAGGAAAGAGGGAGGGAATGCAGGGATTGACCGTTAAAACTAGGGTCCTTTTGAGGGATCTTATGGAAACCTAATACAGCAGAAGTTTCCTGTCATGTATAATTCACACACACATACACACACACACACACACACACACACACACACACACACACAAAGGTACTAAATGAAATTGACAAATAATGGGGGCGATGGCGACCCAACTGGACATCTCTCATCACCAAATTAAGTTTCAAGTACTGGGGATGGGTTACACCCAATCAAGTTGTTAGCAAAAAGGGTCTCATGGGAACTTCCAAACAAGCCAGGCTATTGTCAAGGCTCTCCACAAATCAGTTAGACCCTATTACTGAAGACAACACCAACACAACTTATTGAACACAGAGAAGGGGAGCTGGTGCCTACTTAGAGCCTTTATCCCTACGGATTAGTGTTTATGGTACTGGAAGGTACTCTGCATGCCGCCAGGGGAGAAAAGGAAACACCAACCCAGCTAGAAACTTTCAGTCTATAAGAGTGACCTGCCTGCAAGATACGCTGGTGCAATAGAGTCACAAAGCTTGTGGGAGTAACTAACCAATATCATATTTGAGTTAAGGCCCCCACCATGAGATGGAACCCATGCTCAACACTGCCTTGGTGACTAAGAACCTGAAACTGAATAGGTCAGGGACCTAGGAAAACAGCAAATACTACTGTTCTGGTAATTACAGGAACATAGCAATAAAATGACTGCTAATGACACTCTGCTATACTCACAGATCTGTGCCTTGCTCGGCCATCACCAGAGAAACTTCCTCTTTAAAGCAGATGGGAACAAATACAGAGACCCACAGTCAGAGACACAGAGAGTGAGAGACCCTGGGAAAGCCCTAAAAGGGAAGTCTCCACCAAATCCCTTCTCTCTAGGTTCAGGAAACTGTGCGAGGAGGCAGAAAGAGCGTAAGAGCCAAAGCAGATAGAGGACAGCAAGGAATTAAGGCCTTCTAGATACAACAGGGCAGCATGCATGGGGCTTGCATGGCTCTGCACCAGATGGGGTCCTAGAGCTGAAAGAAGATGTGTTAACACGCCCATCTCTACCTAACCCAGAAGCTACTTCCAATTGAGGTCAGCTGCAATTGAAAAGTTAGTTTTCTCCAAGGGGTCTCATTGAGGAAACGACTCTTAAGGGAAGGTCCCATGCCCAGCAGTAGATGACCAACACAAACGAGGTTCTTTGTGCCGTACTATTAAGCCAGGATATTATTTTTCTTCTATCTTACAGCTCCTTTGTAGGTATATTATGGCTTCTGGTTTAGGACTTTAATGGAATTCCTGCGTATTTGAACATATGTGTCTCTGCATCTATGTATATTTCTTGTTCTTTTTCTTTGGCTCTTTCCTTGTTTGGTTGTTTTGTCCTATTCCGATTTGTTTTATTTTTTTGCATTTTATTATTGTTCCTTAGAATACTGTTTGCTTTTCTGGGAGGAGGGGCGGAGGAACTGGGAGGAGTAGGTAGACAGGAAACCATAATCAGAATATATTGTATGAAAAAAATCTATTTTCAATAAAAGAAAAATAAACAAATATAAAAAAAAGAAAAGTATCTGAGTAGCTAGAGGGATCAGGGCAGTCAGCATCCCTTCATGGTCTCTGCTTCGGTTTCTGCCTCAAGTTCTCAGCTTGGTTTCCCTTGACAATAGACTATAGCCAGCAAGAAACTCTATCTCAAGGCAATAAGACAGACATATTGTCTCATCTCCTGGTGCTTGAACCTGCATACTCACATGCATTCGCCAACAAATACACACACACACACACACACACACACACTAGTTAAAACAAACCAACAACAACAAACCCTTTCCTCCCCAAATTCCCATTGGTCACACTGTCTATCACAACAACAGAAAAGCAAGCCAGAAACTCCCCTAGAGGATGGCACCTACAGTTCCAAAGCAGAACCGGTCCCCTGATAGCCCTGTGATCACAGGGCTGTAGCCCCAACATGGCAAACACAGCTGGTAATAAGAACACACTTCGCGTGTGAGCCACCCAATACAGCAATGGTTTGTAGTATGAGAATATTGTTCTACTCTCTGTCCCTTTTCACTTAGACCTGATTGTTTTTCGGCAAAAATCTCAGATCGGTGTCAGCTTGTCTTGGAAACCTTCCTAACTCTTCATTTTAACAAGAGGAGAGCAAACTGCCACCTCCAAGTGTTCTCTAGAATGACCACTTTCTCCTGGGCTTCTGTTTCGTCACCTTTGACCAATGGCAAGTGATACTATAGTCTTACTTTGTACAGTATCATGACATTTCCTTTAAAATGAGCTCATTTATTTTAATGAGAAATTGATGAATTGAAAGTACAGAGGGGGGAAATGAATGTAAAAATAATTTGTAGCTATGACACCAAATGAAAATGTGGTATTCAAATTATCCACAGACTTTAAGAACTGGGGCGATGGCTCAGTGGGTAAGAAGGGCTTGGTCTAAAGCATGAAAACATTTGATTCTCCAGCACCTACATCAGAAGCTAGGCATGTCTGTGCCCTTCTGTATCCCCAGCACTGGGGCAGAGTCAGGGAGCTCCCCAGAGCTCACTGATGGTTTAAACAAAAGAACTGAATTCCAATTCAATAAGAATCCTGTATCAAGGCAATATGACAGACATGGTTCTCTGACCTCCAGGCACATGAACGTGTACTCACTTACTTTCACCACCATCACCACACACACACACACACACACATGCACACGCACGAACACATACACACACACAAATATACGACTAGAGGAAGTGGACTCTAGCATATGACACAGAAAGTGAAACAGGTAGGTCTATGTGGTCTTAGTGTCCTGCCTAATTAGTGAAAACTGTTCTTCCATGGCTCTGCCCTGAGCTTTCCCAATTCTGAGTGTTGGTTTGGTTTCTGGGTTTGACCTGCTGAAGATCCTACAGCTGACATGGTTGGGTAAGCCAGTGCCATCTGCCCAGCTTGACTGAAACATTTAGAAATGGGAAGAGGCCTGCATGTTTGGGAGGCTGTAAATTCTCACCCTGGGCTTCCATTTTTTGGGGGCTGGCACAATAAAAGCCAAAATTAATCTGCAGCATCAGAAACCCCAAGAGAAACAAAGGCAGTCAGGAGACCTCGAGGCCTGAGAAGTGAGCGCACCAGGCCGACGGCCTTCTCAGACTCCTTTCTTAGCCAGCTGAGGGATGAGAAGAGCAGGCACTGTGGGACTGCGGTTCCCCCACTTGTTTGTGGTTTCTGCTGCGGATAGTCCCTGATGTTCACACACTCCCCCCCCACCCCCGCCAACTGGGGGAACAAAGCTGACAGTTCTTGAAAGAAGAGAGGGCTGGAGGATGGCTCAGCGGTTAAGAGCACTGACTGCTCTTCCAAAGAACCTGGGTTTAATTCCCAGCACCCACATGGCAGCTCACAACTGTCTGTAACTCCCTCTGACACCCTCTCACAGACATACATGCAGGCAAAACATCAATGCATATACAATAAAAATTAATCAATTCATTAAAAAAGAAAAAAAACCCAGGGTAAGTTTAAATTACAACAATAGTTATTATTTAAACACATGTAACTGCATTTATGTGTAGTAATAATTTAAAAAGCATTCAAGTCAGGTGTGTTGGCTCATGCCTGTACTCTCAGGCCTCAGGAGACAAAGACAGGTTGATCTCTGTGAGTTCAAGGCCAGCCTTGTCTACAGAGAAAGTTCCAGGACAGTCAGGGCTGTTACACAGAGAAACACTATCTTGAAAAACCAAAAGGAAAAAAAGCAAATCAAAGTATAAATATTGTTGTGTTAAATGCGCTCATTTTAAAATTTAAAGTTTCTTACTTTCTGGGGAGCATGCTACTACAAACGTGTGAGATCAAAAGATCGCTTTGTGAGGCTGAATCTCTCCTTCCATTTGTTCTGGGAATCAATTCACCATGCTTGTGTGGCAAGTACCTTTACCTGCTGAGCCACCTCTCCTACTTTGATTTATCAAACAGCACCTGAGGATCGTAAACATTTGCTCAAGATGTACACGTAGGCTGTCCATCTCACCAGTGATGGTGGTGCGGTGACCAGCTGTGGTGTATGTTTGGGATAGAATTGGTGATAGCACAGGAATTATCTGTGGCCATACCTACCTGGATGCTCTAGGTGCCATCTAAAAACATACGAATGCATTTAGCACTTGCAATGTGCCAGGCATGGCATCAAAAGCTCTAATGTGTTATTTCATTCCGTCCTCATTATATCTCCACAACTGCGGTACTATTTTTTGTTTTGTTTTGTTTTGTTTTGTTTGCTTGCTTGCTTGAGACATGGTTTCTCTGTGTAATAGTCCTGTCCTAGAACTTGCTCTGTAGACCAGGCTGGCCTCGAACTCACAGAGTTCCACTTGCCTCTGCCTCCCCAGTGTTGGGATTAAAGGCGTGCACCACCATACCTTGTCTAAGGTACTATTAATACCTCAGTCTGAAGCTTACAATATAATCGACACGAGGAGTGTAAGTTTTGGTCACAACACATGAAATGGTAGAGTCAGGACTTAAATTCAGACCCATCTGACATCAAAGTTAGTGCCAGCCACTGCTAAGCTGTAGTACTAGTTCCCTGTAAAGCCATGTAGTTCCATATACTGCATAAGGAACCAGAGCATCCTTGTACAGGGCTATCCTCCAAGCCAAACGACCACCACCATGGGCAGTCAGCTGTGCCCTCTTGATCATCCAGTTGGGGTTATTGACTGCTTACATCCCCACATAGAGGGGTGGGGTGAGTCACAAGATCCTTTCCTGTGAATCCAGCCCCTCCCGACCACATGGTGTATGCAACTCATCCCCAGCTGCCCACGGCTTCCGAGAAGGATGGAGTATACAAGCCTGGGAAGACCAGGGAATCCAGGCTTTATCTATGCAGCTATGACAAAGTCGTTATCTCCACTGGGTAAAGACCCTGGTGTGGCCTTTTGGCAGGGGAACACTCACACTCCAGTGAGTAAACCCCCACCTATGATATTTAAGTTAGGCCAACAAACTCATGGGTTCCCTGGGTGTGAATTCTACCCAGGTTTATAATTGGAACTGGGGGAGGGGCATTTCTTACAACTCCCCCAGGGAAGAAATTGTAGTAATAGTCCTGAAATGGAACTGATTTTTTTTCTCTAGCTGAAGGGTCGGGCTGCCCTGGTACAAGCAGGAGCAAGCAGCCTCTGTAGAGGCTCCTACCTGTCATAGGCACAGTTGGTGCTCTTTTTGACTGTGGTGTCCACTTGGTCCCCAATCAGCCAAACGAAGTTGAGGTCAGTCCTCAAACGGATGTTCTTCCAGGCTTTCTTGGGGACATAACTGCAGCCAGCGTTGAAATCACCCATGAAGATGAAATTCTGAAAGACGTGTTTTAGAACCATCACTTACCAAGCACTGGAATACATGACTTCATTGACAGCCACCGGCAAGGGCCCCACCTTTCATGTCCACTGAACAAAGAGGGCTTTTTGTTTTGTTCAGATTGGAGACAGGGCTCCTCTGTGTAGCCCTAGTAGTCCAAGAACTTGCTCTGTAGACCAGGCTGACCTTTAACTCAGAAATCTGCCTGCCTCTGCCTCCTGCGTGCTGGAATTAAAGGCATGCTCTGCTGCCACCCAGCTTCAAAGAGGTCTTTTAGGACTTGGATTGGACCCCTCCCAATATATTTTGTTTCTTTTAAATATATCATTGTGTGTATGTGTGTAGTGTGTGTGTGTTTATATACATATATACATGTATAAACATATATATATATATATAAACTTGTTGATTCTCTTCTGTACTTCTACTGTGGATGTTAGGGATATAACTTTGGTTGTCAGTCTTGCACAGCAAATTCTTTTACTCACTGAACCATGTCACTGACCCATCCATCACAATTTTAACTCCTGGTCCTGATACACTAGAATGTGACTACATACAGAGTCTCATGTAACCTAGGAGTGCCTCAAATTAGCTCTGTAGCCCAGGATGGTCTTAGACCTCTGATTCTCTTGAACCCACCTCTTGATCTCTGTGCACTTCCACACCCAGCTGGAGAATGGAACTTTTAAAATATAATTAAGGTTAAAAAATGAGGCCAAGTGGTTGGCCGTTTATATAGAAACAGAACTGGGTTTGCTCAATGGTAGAGTGCAGGCAAGTAGGAGGTCCTGGCTTTAATTACCAGCATGACCAAAATAAATAAATGAATTTAAATAAGAGAACTAGAGATTAGAACATAGAAAGATACAGAGGAAAGACAACACAGAGACACCAGATAAAGGTGAGTATCTATAGGCCAAGGACAGAGGTCCCAGAAGGAACAACCTGGCTCTTCCACACTGGCCTTGGCTCTGCAGCCTCCAGAACAGTGAGAAACAGCCCAGAGTTACTTCATGCACCGGGTTCTGGGGCACAGCTGTGTTACTAGCGAACTTACAGTTTCCATCTGTGTTCCCTTTTTAAGAGAAGAGAGAACAGGTTCCAAGTGAGTCAGAGCTGTGACAAGGATCTGGCAGGGAGAACAAGGAGCGGGAGAGCGGATGCTTGCCCCACAGTGCCACCCTGATCTTAGTCACAGTATCTCTGTAACCTGCGCACAGGTAGGCAAGAGCACTGGAATCCAGCTCAGATAGCCCCTCACATAAATGCTGCAGCAAATGTGGACGAACAAACACCTCAGTTCCCAAGAAGCCAACTTAACTGGGGTAATGTGGTGATGACTATTTTGACATCTCTCTGTGTCCTATTGTATGGGGGACAGAAACTAATTCCGTTGAGAGGCAGCCTTAGAGTGACCTGCTTTTCTCCACTCTATACCACCAAGATTTGGAAGTGTCCCATCCCCCACAGGCCCTGGGAAGAGAATTTTAACATTCTGCAATTACAGAGGAAACATCTTATTTCCTTGTTTGTGCTATTGTTTGGGATGATTGCTGACTTGAGAGATTTCCTTAAGAGCGTTTCATTTTGACCTCTGCAATTAGGGTTTCCCTTGAGATTAGGTGCATAAAGACAGAATGCTCTCCCCAGCTTGTGTGCCCCAAGCAGCAGGAAGCGATTTCCCAAGCTCAAGTGACATGGCTTGAAACACCATTAACCACAGCAGGAACAGGCAAGAGCAATTAAGTAGGCTGCTCTAGGCCACACAGCCAGAGGGATTAAGCAACATAACCCAGGGCCAAACCTCAGTCTGCCTTCCTGAAGATCCATCATCCATGGTTTCTTCCCCAGATACTCAATGTATTCATGCTGAATGTGTGGACTCCATCATTTATTTTGGAACTTACAAATAAGCAATGAAATGCACCCCTGGCCCTCTGGATGGTCAGTTCTGACCAGCTGTGTCCACACTTGACACATTTTGCACCTCAAGTGGGGAAACTGAAGAGAAAGAGGGACTCTCGGCATCACATTCCGAAAGGTAAAAAAGAGGAATTTGGCAGGAGAGCTGTCTGAGCACTTCTACATTTTCCGGGTGCTTCCTCAAACCCGCAGAGCCGCAGATGGCAGTGTCTCTAGCTACCAAATGAGAGGTGGTGGCTGTCTTGAGGAGTGAACACCATAATTGCTTCTCCTTTTCATGATCTTGCCCCTTGCCTCTGAAATGTTCCTGACCTCCTAGGCCTCATTGCTCTTAGTCATAAATTGGGACTGATTAATGACCTTTTGTGGGTGTGTACACTGTGCAGGTACACATATGTATGTGCTTGTGGGATTACTTAGTGTGAGTGGTGGGTGTGCACAGTGCAGGGACATGTGTGCATGCTTGTGGGATGACTTAGTGTGTGCAGTGGGTGTGCACAGTTCAGGTACACGTGTGTGTGCTTGTAGAGGCCAGAGTACAACCTTGGGTACTGTCCTTAGGTTCTGCGGCTTTCTTTTCTCTGTGGTTGCACCTCTTATTGGCCTGGAACTTGCCAAAGATGCTAAACTAACTAACCATTGAGTCCCAGAGATTTGTCTGCTTCTGTCCTCAACACGGGAGTTATAAATTTGCACCAGCATGTCCAGCTCTCTCTCTCTCTCTCTCTCTCTCTCTCTCTCTCTCTCTCTGTGTGTGTGTGTGTGTGTGTGTGTGTGTGTATGTGTCTTTGTGTGTGTGTGTGTATTGTTTTGTTTTTTGGTTTCTGGGGATTGAACTCAGGTTCTAATGTTTGCAGGACAAGCACTTTATCAACTGAACCATCTCCCCAGTCCCTTGTTGGATTATTGAGAGGATTAAGTCCACTTGTTCACATGTAGTCTCAGCACAGTGCGTAGTACCAAACAGTTAATAATACTGGCATCCATTATACACACAGCAGAGCATGACTTCCCAGGACCCACAGGGACAGGCCAGTGAAGTCTTAGCAAGAAGGATGCTTAGGGCTGAGGAAAAACTGTACATCAGTTGCGGCTTGCATGAACTCCGCCCCCTCACCCTCCTACATGAATGACTGGGTGCTGCTTGATAGGAATGGGACAAGCGCAGAGCCCCTCACCTGTACTTTCCACCGCCGCTTCACATCCGTGTAGACATCAACCAACTCATCAATCTCTTTCACGGAAGTCTCAGGCGTCGTGTGCAAGGGGACGATCACGAAGTCCTTGACAGCTGAGGAATAAATAGGAGGTGGCACACTACCCAGTCAGGGCCCACTAACACTGCCTGAAGGAGGCCCCTCTAAGAGACACTGCTGCATTGTGAGGGCATCGTGACAGAGGGCTGGAGACGGTGGCTGAGATTCCGGTGCCTTAGTGTCACCAGGCTGCTTGTTTTCAGGACATGAAAGACTCCTTTCTCCAACCTGTGCTCTCCCCAGCTAAGAGGAAGCTGGTGATTGTGATCACTTCTGGCACTGTGGGCTGTAAGGAGCCGCCAGGATGTCGCCTTGGCGAGATGGTGCCAGCGGTCCTACAGCCTGGAGGTATACAAATCCTTTGATGTTGCCGCACAGGCCAGTGTGCTTGGAGCCTTGTTTTGCATTTCAGAGACTTGGTTTCCTGACCTGTCCTGTGGCCTTGGGCCCTAGCAGAATGGCATTAACCAATCAGCATTCGAGCCTCTCACCCTAGAAAAGCGGCTGTCTTTGGGTTTTTCGCTCTCTCCCTAAGCTCTCTCTAATCTTTCTCTCGTCCCTGAGCTCTCTCTTCCTCTCTCCCTTGCTCTCCCTTTTTCTGTCTTTTCTCTCTCTTTCCTTTTCCCCAATTTTCCTCAACCGAGTGCTCCGAATAAAGACGTGATAGGGAAGGAATCTCGTTTTCGTGGCCGTTCATTCCTGCTGGTCAGGAAGCGCGCCGCAGTGGGCACTGTGGGTTTTCTCTCTCTTCCTAGCTCTCCTTCCTTTCCTTTCTTTTTAAACAGTCCGTGTGTGTGTGTGTGTGTGTGCACGCGCGCACGCACGCGTGTGTGTGTATGCGTACGCGTGTGCATGTGTGTGTGTGTAACACAAAGCACCTTGCAGAGGTGGGTTCTGGGTTCTCACCTGCCCTTCCTTTTTCAAATCTTTAATTTTTTTTTCTCTTGGTTTGTTTGGAGTACTGAAATTTATTTGTTTTATGGCTATGTCATTCTTTCTAAGAGTAATAAATCCAGTTGCATGGGGTGGCACATATCTGTAGTCCTGAACTTGGGAAACTGAGACAGAAAGTGGAGGAGTTCGAGGCCAGCCTCAGCTACAGGAGAATGCCTCAAAAAATGAAAAAATAACCTACAACAAATAAATAAAGGTTACTTGTAACCAGGCCTTAGTGACTGCTTTTGTTTAAAGCCTTCTTCTGGGGTTGGAGATGTCCAAGGCCTGGCTAAAGGAAGATGAATGCCTGGAATCCATGCATTTGCTTTGCATCTGTCTCCTCTGCTACCTTAAACTCTGGCTCAGACTCTTTGCTGACACATTCACCATTTAAGGAGACAACAGGATGGCCAGTCTCTCATCCCCCAAGGCTGAAGACAGAGAGATGTATTCCAGAAATAGTGAACCTTGCAGGCAGATCAAACCCTGACAGAAACCTAGGTTCTAACCCCAGGAAGCTACAGTGTCCTCCAGGGGACCTAGAGCCGGTAATAAAACTACACATGACATCATACCAAGACTGTTGACCAACGTCTAATTCTACCCTTCCTGGCTTTCCTTCTTTCCTCTATAACCTCAAGGTCTTACCGAGATCCCCCAGGACAGGGCTAGGACACTTGTCTGCTTCCTGTTGCTGTCATACTGACAACCAAACTCCTTCCTTGTTTGACCACCACTGCCTCAGTCTGCTCTCAGGGAAGCAGGCGGCAAAGCTGGAGCCAGGCACTGATCAAGGACTTTGGTTACATGTTTAGCTTTTGTACTAAAAGGAAAAAGAAAAATGGAGACTGGCAAGTTTATAGTCCTTTTGCAAACAAGAAGAAAAGGAATAATAAGAAGAAGAATAAGAATGAAATTACCTAAAAAATTAGAAAGCAGGGCATGGGGGTACAAGGCTTTGATGCCAGCTCTTGGGAGTTGAAGGCATGGTGCGGGAGAATTGTCTATAATCTGTCAATCATATTTTAAATAAATGCTGATTGGCCAGGCAGGAAGTATAGATGGGAAAACCAGACAGGAAGTAGAGGTGATGCAATGAGAACAGGAGAATTCTGGGAAGCAGGAAGCTCCCTCCACCATTCCTGCCCAGATCACCGAAGAAGCAACATGTGAGCTGACAGCTGAAAAAGGTACCAAGTCATATGGCTAAAATAGATCAGAATAATAATGGATTAATATAAGTTACAAGGGCTAATAAGAAGCCTGACCTAATGGGCCAGTCAGTTTATAATCTTATGGAGTCCTGTGTGTGATTTCTTTGGGGCTTGCCAGTTGTGGGGTACCGGGCAGGACAGATATCCCAACAAGCAGGCCCCCACATGTTACAAAGGCAAGTTGTATCTGTAAGTTCAAGGCCAGCCTGGTCTATGTAGTGACACCCTGTCTCAAAAAAGAACAAGAAAGGATGAAGGTGCTGGAAAGACGGCTCAGTGGATAAGAGCATGTACTGTTCTGGCAAAGGTTTGGAGTTTGTTTTCCAGCACCTATGTTGGGTAGCTCACAGTTGCCTTGAACTCCAGTTGTAGTGGGGGATCCAAGACTTCCGGCCTCCTTGGGCACCTGCGCATGCATAGACACGCATAGCCCTGGGTTAGATCCAAAGCATCGCATAAAACAAAGCAAGGTTGCCTAGGCCTGAAATTTCATCACTCAAAGTGGGGAGGATGCTGAAGGGTCAGGAGTTCAAGGCCAGGCTAGAGTATGTGAGACCCTACCTCAAAAACAAAACAGACAAGGAGATGATGATCAGGGTGTGGTGGTATATTTCCCTAATCCCAGCTCTAGAAAACAGGAAGCAGGAGGATTGTAAAATCAGGGTTAGTCTGGGCTACACAGCAAAACCTTGTACCCAGACCACAAAACAACAGAGAGAGAGAGAGAACCAAAAGTTCCTAAGTGTGGTTCCCCAGATGGGCCTAGTAGCCAGGCCTTGCCCTCCTGTCTGCAGGAGCTGTGATCTGAGGCAACCTCTCATTCTCTGCCTGGATCCCACTCCTGCCTCATGTGTGGAGGCTACAAGAGGCTTGAGACCCACAGTGGCCTCCTTGCAACAGAAATGTGAGGGGAAAAAATGTTGGTTTTTTTTTTCTATCAAGGTAGCTAACCTCTAATGGGCCAATATTCCATAAACCTCTGCCATCTTGGGAACCTCTTGTGTATGTGCATGCCTGTCTGCCCAAGACCTGGACATTTTCGAACCCTTACTCTACCAAACTCTTCTCCTTTACACTGATTATGAGCTCACCAATCGCATGAGATTGTGAGGTCAAGCTCCCACAAATGGCACGAGACGCAATCACCACCTGCATTAAAATAAAAACTAAGTGAACGTCCCTCCTCAGGATGCTTGCTCGCCTGGCTTGGGCGGTGGCACACCTTTTAGCAAGATGCCAGGTTGCTCTTGCTTTGTGGTGTGTTTCCTTACGCAACACTGAAGATATTGTTTTCCAACAGGGAGCTGGGCCTCAGACCTCAGGCTGTTTCTGGAGGCGGGAGACCTACTGCTTAGCCGCACCTCCACATCGCCAGCTCATGGCTCTGCCTCTCTGGTAATTCCCTTACACACTTCGCCACATTCCCACCTCTGAGATGTCGGCTCTTGGTGCCTTCCTGTCTCCAGCCATCTGCATGGTAACAGACCTTGTCTGCCTCTAATGGCACTGACTGGCCACCCCTCTAAGATCCCTCTGCGCTATTTGATATGTCCTGCTTATGACTCCTTTATCCGCTGTATGTTTCTCTTCTCTTCTCTTCTGCACCCGCGAGAGACACCTCCACGATGCCAGGTTTCTATTTTCAATTCACCTTCTTGTCCGCACTACCTAGTACAACACCGGGCACCCGAGGTGCTCAAAACTATTTCTTGATTGAATTCTTGAATGAAAGTTAGATAAATGGATAAAATTGCTAATTCATTTGTTTTCAATCTTGATACAACAGGGTAAACTCCTGACTCAGGGGAGACACGAAGGGGGCTGGACGTAGAGGCTCAGGAAAAGTAGATCTACTTAGTAATCCACAGAGTCTTGCCTCTCTTTGAGAAAAAATAAGTACTTGGAGGTGGAGCCTCTCCCTGCTCAACCATAAGTAAATTGGAGAATAAATAAAAGGATAATTACACTTATTGCTCTCAATAGTCCCTCTTCTTTTCTGCTGAGAATTCGCACACCTCTCTTATAGTTATTTTTCCAAAGTCCTCTCCTCTAAGTTAATTAACCCCGGGCAGAAGTAGTTAAATCTGTAGTTCTGGTTGTTACACCAGTGTGGGATAGAGTCAGGCAGGCCTGCTTTAATTCTGCATATATCTGTTCATTCACACTCTGTATTCCTGGGACAATATGATGTCATGAGGGCATGGACTTTGTCAGTCTTAGGCTCTCAGAAGGTCACATAGTAGATAGTGAAGAACATTTGACTTTACATGCTGAAACCAATTTTAATTCTTGACTCTTTTTATTTCTGTTCCTTCAGTGCAGAAGGTTGACTCCAGAACCTTGTACATGCTAGGCACTAGCGTTTTCACCAAGCTATAGTTTTGGCCCTTAGTATTTTGAGATCAGGGTCTCACAATATAGTTCAGGCTGGCCCCAATCTGCTGGTCCTTCTCTCTCTGCCTCCTGAGTGCTGAAAGTACATGCATGTGCCACCACATCTGGTGAATTTTGACATCCTTTGAGTTCAGTGGGGAGTGGGAATATGGGCTTCTGAGTCGGTGGCCTGACTTACAATTCTGGCTCATCTACTTTAATAGTTGGACTTTGGCAAGTGATAACGCCTTTAAAATCCCAGTCTCCTCAAATCTGAATTGGGGTCCCTACCTTGGGGTCCCTACATTGCAGTCCGTGAAAGAATAACAGGAAACTGGCCATTAGACATGGACCAGTAGCAGCATTGTTGGGGGTCAAAGCACACCTGGTTTAGTTTTACTCCCTTATGGTAATCTGTGCAGAGTGGAGTTATCAATGATCCTGAGAGTAGTTTCCCAGCTGGGAGGTCCTACATCTTGGGATTCTGAAAAACAAGACTGGTACCCTCAGGCCAGCTGCTTTTCTCAAGTATTAACTCCCACCTCAAGGATCCCATAAGACAATGCATGACTCTGAGCCTGTCACGCATGCTAAGGGCTGGGCCCCTTCCTGGGCTGCTGGAGAGGTCACCAGGAGATGGGCTGTTATGGCTTAAATATGAAATGTCCCTCAGAGGTCTGTGTGTTGAATGCCTGGTCCCCAGATGGCAGCAATATTTTGGGAGGTTGTGCAAACTTTAAGACCTGGAGCTTTGATGGAGGAAGCAGGTCACTGGGGAGTGACTTTCGAGATTATCCCTAGAGCCCGGTGCCTTTCTCACACCTCTCCACCATGAGGTGAAGAAGCCCTGGGACCTATGTTCTCACTGACAGGATGTTCCGCCTCACCACAGTCTCCGAATCCACAAAGCTCCAGCTGTGGGTGAATCCTCTAAAACATAAATAAACCTCCAGAGTCATGGTCTCACCAGTGAAGGGCGACTGGAACCAAACCACAAAGGGCTCCCTGGAAAACACGTCGGCATCTCCATCCTGGTAGTCATGGTAGAGGTATTTGTCTCTCACAGATACCAGCTTTTCCCTAGAAGAGGAGAGGAAAAATAATGTCTTCTCACTGAGTCCTTTGGTCATGACTTTAGTAGCTTCCAGAGCAGGCCCAACTTTGGGAGGGTCTTTCCCCTAAGAACAGGTAGAATCAGCTCTTCTCGATGAGCCGAGGCTCTGAGTTATACGTGCTGTCGGGGACACAGCAGGTGAATGTTCAGACTTTAAACAGATGAATGGGAGGAAACCAGAGAAAGTCCTCCGTCCTGTGCTCAGATGATCTAGGCCAGGACTTCTCCACAAAGGACAAAGAACTCCTACCCTGGCCAGTGGGTAGTTGTCACAAAGCTGTTGTGCTTTCTAACTAATGATTGAATAATTTTCTTGTGAAAGTTTTCGGTGATTTGTTTTGAGACAGGGTCTCCCCTCGTATAGCCAGGCTGGTTTTGAACTTGCTGTGCTGCTGGAAGTCTGATCCCTTTACCTCTACCTTCCAAGTGGAATGAAAGGCCTGCGCCACCACAGTGCGGGAGGTTGAGCCAGGCTCTGCACAAGCTGGGCAAGCAAGCCCTCCAGCAGCTGAGCTTCCGTCCCAGCACACGGGTTTGACAGCCAAGATCCCGACTGCTGTGGTAACTGCTAGAGACCAGAATCGAATGCTTTTGTTTTATTTGAGACGGGATCTCACTTTGTAACTCTCACTAGCCTGGAACCAGGCTGGCCAACAACTCACAGAAAACTGCCTGCCTCTTCTCCCTTTCAAGGACTGGGATTAAAGGTGCATTCTGCCATACCAGGCCCCGATACAACATTTACATTTGGGTTCCCTTCAGAGGGATGAAACTCACTTATAGAGGAAGGCATACTGTTCCTTGTATGTGTTTCTTCCAAGTCGAGAACTAATCACATAGTTGTAGGTTGTGCTTCTCCGAGAATTTCTGGAAAACAAAATTTCATGTTTGTTTTGTGAAAAATAAACAGACCTCTAAACACATTTCTGCTGCATCTCCCCCACCCTAGCCCCCACCCCTGCCTCCATATCCCGAGTAGTAGCGATGGTACCACAGACGTCCCTACCCACACTCCTGCCGTCACACCCCGAGTGCTGGCCTATAGTACCACAAACAGTCCTTCCTTCCTTTCCTTCTTTCTTCTTCCTTTTGGTTCTTTAAGACAGGCTTTCTTTTTTAAAAAACAAATGTGCATTGGTGTTTTGCCACGAGTGTCAAGTCCCCTGGAGCTGGAGTTACAGACAATTGTCTAAGAACTGAACCTGGATCCTCTGGAAGAGCAGCTATCACTGAGCTGCGTTCTCTCCAGACTCAAGACAGGGTTTCTCTGTAGCCCTGGCTGTCCTGGAACCGCCCAGGCTGGCCTTGAACTCATAGAGATCCGCCTGCCTCTTCCTCTAGAGTGCTGGGATTAAAGGCATGTGCCACCACCGCCCAACCCCTACTGTGTGATTTAATCACACAAGGCTAGGATTTGAAGCCAGACCTTCTCATTTCAGATCCTACAAGCTTCAGTCTGCTTCTGTGGGAATCACAGAGACAAGAGATGACCCAGGCAGAATCAGAAATCCTTGCTTTTCGTCTTCAATATAGCCTAACAGGTAAAAATATTCCCATCAAGCCTAACAGTGTGAGTTTGGTGTCCAGCACCCAAAGGGAAGAAGGAGAGATCCGACTCCTGCCAAGTGTTCTTTGACCTCTACATGTGTTATGGGACACACACACACACACACACACACACACACACACACACAGACACGCACGCACACACACACACACACACACACACAATGAATAGAAGTAAGAAAGAAAACAAAGAAAGAGATCCCTGCTTTGGCCCTGAACCATTGCTCTCCCTCGTGCTTTCTAATTGGAGTCAAGTTTCTCAGGTTCTGTCCAAATGCCACCTCTGAGGTCCACCAGCTCACCAGAGAATCGTTCAAATGTTTTGGGGTTGATTTTAATTTTTATTTTATTTCATGTATTTATTTATTTATTTTGTTTTTTTCCGAGACAAGGTTTCTCTGCAGTTTTAGAGCCTGTCCTGGACCTAGCTCTTGTAGGCCAGGCTGGCCTCGAACTCACAGAGATCCGCCTGCCTCTGCCTCCCGAGTGCTGGGACGTGTGCCACCACCACCCGGCCTGGGGCTGATTTTAAACAATCAACTATTTATTCCTGGGGTAGAGCTCACCATGCGGGGAGGAGGAGGGCAGCAGACCCAGTAGGGTGGGTGCCTTTGCACTTGACTTTAAGCTCTCTGGGGGCCCATCCCTCACCCCATTTACCCGTTCAGCTTCTCCATCAGCATGGGGCAGATGTGGTTGCTGCTGTCCTTGATTTCCATCAGGAGTATAAGGTCACAGCGTTTGATGATCTGCAGGGAGAGAATTTCCAGGACGGTTTACTGTAAATCACCAAATCTTTCATCAGGCCCTTGCTGGGCTCCCATAGTCAGGTGCTTGCTGGCGTAACTAAATCTCTTCCTGAACTGAGAACCGCTCTTTGTTGTGTCCCTTTTGGGTTTTGTTCATGTCTGTTGTAGTTTTAAGATGGGATCGCATTGCTCAGGTCGGTTCCAAACTTCAGGTCAGAAGTGATTCCTCTGCCTCAGTTCTGAGTAACTAGGATCTCAGGGGTGCATCATGTGCCCAGTGGTTTGGTTGTTGCTGTTTACATTACTTTCTGTCTATTTTAATATTTTAATTAATTTCTTTGTTTGAGGCAGGGTCTCACAAAATAGCCCTGGCTGGCCTGGAACTCAGAGATGTGCCTGTCTCTACCTCCAGGGTGCTGGAATTAAAGGTGGGTACTGCCACACCCTGTTGGTACGCCCCGTCTTAAGGATGAGGGGACTGAAGCTCAGACAAGGTCATGTTATCCAGCCATGCAGCTCGAAAATAGCCACACTGGCATCTAGATGTAAACAACCAACCAGAGACATTTCTGACCGTGACACTCCCACACATCCTACAGTTTGGGTTAAGTGGTTGTAGTGGTGATAACAATAAATACATATTAAACCTTAATGAGTAAAGGTACTAGGCTGGGTGCTACACGTCTCAGAAGGCATAATTACAGTGGTAACAACTTAAGAGCTAACACAGACTGCGAACCTACTTCACAGCAACACTGAAAGAGGGATATGATGGTTAGCCCATTCGATCTAGATAATAACTAAACTCAAAGTATTTTAGCAATTATCCTCCAGTCACAGCCAATACAGGTGGGGAAGCCAGGGTTCCAGCTCAGTTCTGTAGGTTCCACTATGCTCAGCTGTTAAAGTACAGACACTCAGAGACTCGGAGTCCAATGGAAGCAAGACAGTGTAATGGACGGAAAGTAGAATCTGTGCTAAATAAAAGTCACAAGCCATGGACATGCTGAATATGTCGGTGAATAATTAATTGCTTCTGTCAGAAGACCAGGGAAGGCTCCTGGAAAGAGATAGCCTTTGGTCCCTGAAAGGGTTAGAAATAATTCAGCGGGAGGAAAACTACAAGAGACACTTGGTCAGGGTGAGCCGCCATCAGAGGGCAGAAGGAGCTCCCACCCCTGGATGACCACGTGGCTCTGAGCAATGGGATGCTGGCGACTCAGCTCCACAGGATGTGGCCATCGAGGGCGAAGCAAGGCTTGGAGGGCCACAGGGCCTCTATGTCCAGAGCATCTCCAGTTATCTCTGCAGAAGAGTGGAGTCCACCTTCCCCAGGACCAGGAATGCAGACTTTAGGAAGCTGGGACTGAGGACTGACTGATCAGGAAGCCTCGGTTCTAGGTGAAACCACAGCACTGGCCATGACTACTCACCAGGAACCGTGTGCCAGCCTCGAGCCAGCCCGCTGGGCAGTCACTGGAAACTACCAGACCTTTCTAGAAGTGACTTTAAAACGCACACATTCAGTGGGTGTAAAGCACACCCCTTTAATCCCAGCATGAAGAGGCAGAAGCAGGCAGATCTGTGTGAGTTTGAGGCTAAGCCTGGGCTGCATAGCGAGACACTTTCTCAAAACACAAGGACAAACACGTGTACACATTCTTTGATTCAGTTTTCCCATTTTTGGCCCTTTACGATGGAAGTAAGATGAAGTAGGAATTTAGGGCAGTGTCGGCTAGGCAGGTGGTCTGTAGTAGATTATTGTTTCTAAGGCGCTGTGGTAGAGTACCTTCTACAGGCAAGGATTTCCACATTTCTACTTAATATGACTGCACACGCGCGCACACACACACACGTGTGTGTGTGTGTGTGTGTGTGTGTGTGTGTGTGTGTGTGTGTGTGTGTAGAGAGAGGTGCGCACCTGTGTTGATGGGTGTGAATATACCCTTCTATGTGAGAACATACGGAGACCAGAGGTCAGCCTCAGGAGTCTTCCATCTTGCTCATTGGGAAAAGGCCTCTCACTGGGGCCTGGCTTGAAAGTCAGGCTAAACTAGTCGCACAATGAGCCCCAGCAATCCCACCGTCCCTGCTCCTCAGACTGGGATGACAAGTGTGTACCGTTACACCTGGTCTTTTCACAAAGTCAGCTCCTCATGCTTGGTCAGCAAGCATCTCCTTAGCCTTGTCCTTCTTTAGCACTGAGAAAGCCAAATGCTCTGAGTGCTGAGGTAACTTCTCAGGCTTTCATAGCTAGTTGGGAAGAGCCAGGGTCAATCCATGCTACGCCTCTCCCACTTTTCTACGCTAGACAGACTACATCAGGGACAGTCTTGTCAACATTGTGTCGTCTGCCCTTCACTAGCATGGGTAGGAGCATGAGGGAAGTTGCCTGGTCATCTTGTGTTTTCCTTTCCAATCACTTGTAGTTGTCTGACACTAAGCTGGGTCTTGGTGAGTCTCCTGTGTTCTCCAGTTTCCACCCTCCTGAACAGAGTTTGTTCATCCATCAGGTGGAGAACCTGTGCCAGACTGTCCAAGGCACTGGGGTTGGCATGGTAGATGGGGGTGACTTGTCACCCTTCTCAGGCCTTAGAGTACATGATAATCATCCTTTTCTGCAGTGTTATGTGCTGGGTTCAAGTTCAACCTCACGATCCGATGATCTTTGTTATGCTATCCAAGCTACAGATGGGACAACTGGAAGCAGAGAGTAGGTCACCCGGTGCGGTGAGGCGCAAAAGTGGTAGAGAAGTGGATTGAACCCTGGGTCTTCCCCACCATGCTATGCTGTTTACTCTTTAAAGACATTAGGTAGGATTCCTGTCTCTACTCAAGATCTTTCCAGCCCTCTCCAGACTGTCCCTTCCCTCAACCGCAGAGCATCAGTGACACCATGTTTCCGGATCCCATCCACACTGGCCACGCTCACTCCACCACAGACTGTTGCTTTCAGAGGTTTCGGCAGCACAGTGCAGGGTATAACTGCCCTCCAGACCGCAACTCCCTCCTGTGAGCATGCGGGAATCTGGCCCCGAGGAAAGCACAAAGGGAAGGGTCCACCCAGAGCTTGGCTCTGAAAGGACCACCAGGGAGTCGCTTCCCAAGAAGCAGGAACCAGAAGAAAATATGGCTTTTCCTCAGCCTCTGCCATTTTGAGAATTTGGACAACAGGATCTTGCAGATTCTTCTCTGAGAAAACTTCCCAGAGACAGCAAGGAAACTGGAAACCAGTATCAGCTGGAGATTCAGGGCTCAGAAGTGCTTGGTAAGCAAGGAACAGGGATGTCAACAGGAAATCTGGCTGTGCTCTCAGGAAAGGGAATCTGAGCCCTGGCTTACTCTTGCGCTTTGCCAATGGGTCACACAAGAGAGGAACCTTGGCCTTTGGCATGCTAATCTTCTTGGCTATTCCATGGCCAGGAAGGGAGTCTGTAATATAGACAGGCCATTGCTCACCTTCCCTTGGTGTTCAGCTAACTAACACCCACTGAGTAACCAACTATAAAGAGGGCTGTGAGGGCTGCGAAGGGACTACACCAGCAGATGAGGCATGACTCAGTTGGTAGAATTCTTGTCTAGCGTGCACAAAGCCCTGGGCTCAGTCTTCAGCACTGCAGAAACCATGTATGATAGCAAATGCTGCTAATCCCAGCAGCACTCAGGAAGCAGAAGCAAGGGGCTTAGAAGTTCAAGGTCATCCTTGGTTACAGAGGGAGTTGGCCCAGCATAGACCTCATGAGAAATGATGGTAATACTCTTCTAAAGCACAACTTACATAATGTCCCTTTCGTGGCATCACTAAACTTCTCATTACATCACTAAAATGAATGTTTTCTTACTTGGATTGTTTGCGTTCTTTTGGTGGCAAATGTGTCTTTACCTTTGATCCATACAAGCCCTACTAGCAAATCGAGCACCAGGCATTTGCGGTCAACTGCCACTGCTCTGTGAGATGGCTCTGGTAGTTTCCCGGGGGATTGGCTTCTGTTTCCAGAATGGCTTAATGAGAATGGGGCAAAGCCTTGACAGAGACTTTAGGCACACTTGGTGGGACTCACAGCTCAGAGGAGATGCTGTGTGGAGGAACGGAATCACCAGAGTACAAAAACACAGCCTCCAAGAGAGTGGCAACATTTCCAGGGATGAATAAGTTAGGATCGTAGAGAGACACTTAAGTCCCCAGGCGCCACTAGGCTACATGTGAGGAAACTGGGAAATCGTTTTCTTGCACATCAGATGTCTCCATTCAGCCGTGGTGATAGGATTCTCACAAGCTTGGCACAGCTGTCCTGGTAAAAACCACACTATCTAGAACTTCTTGCTTATCATCTAAAGGACAGAGTCACCTAGGACCCAGAACTATTTTGGCAAGAGCAGAGCAGGCTTTCTGCTTGTACCCTCTCTGTCCAACAGTAGCGTAATACCAGCTTCACCTCAGCTCTGTTGGGATTCACTTACCAGTCTTCCCAGCCACTCCGTGGGAGAACCCACGCTATGTGAAGCGGACCCCAGGGCTGCTGTCATTTTCACCACACATGGGAGCATCTTTTGTTGGTCTGTGTGTGTGTGTTTCATGTAGACCAGGCTGACCTTTAATTTGCTATATAATCATACATAACCCTGGACCTTTGATCTTCTTACTCTTTCTACCTCCCTAGTGCTGAAGTTACAAGAGGGCAACACCATGCCTGGTTCATGCACTGCCAAGGATGGACTTCACAAATGCTAAGCAAGCATTCTACCAACTGAAGTACATCCCTAATCTCACTGTGTTTGTTTGTTTTTTAAGTAATAGCCATTCCACCAGAGTCCAAGTATCAAAAGTAAATCAGTCCATGGGACAGAGAGTCAACTGACTCCAGGAAAATGTAGGCAGTTTTCCTGGACATTGGTCATATTAACCAAGAACAGTAATATCCACCAGTAGAGGAAGCGTAGAATTTTGAGTTGGGGGAGAGGGATGAAGGGTTGATAGGAGAGAGATAGGGAAGGAGGAAGAGAAGGGGAGAGAGAATGCACGTTTGCCAACGATTATAAAGATGAAGCAGACAAGGCTGTACCAGTTCCCTCAAGGCCCCTCCCTGGGACTACCCGTCATCACATCACTCCGCTGAGTTCATCTTCTCCACCGGGGAACAATAGTCCTTGCTCGTGAGATTGACAAATGAGATCATGTATTTATAGTGCCTGACACAGACACTCAGTACGTTCAGCTAAAACCGTCAGAACAGCAGCCCATAGCTGGAACTATCTGCTGGCCAGACTCCGGCAAAAAGCATCATGTTTACCTGCTCAGTAACTTTGCAACACCCCTGTGGAAGGCACAACACCTTCCTAGAATACCTTTGAAACACACAAGAAAAAATGTCATCAGACAACAGCGGAGGCCTGGAACACCACCTGGTCTGAAGACGTGACCGCTGTCCTTACCTCATCTTGAAAGCAAATTTCAGGGCCTTTGAGTCTGACACTGGGGAAAAGGTGTAAGGGCTGTCCAGGACTCGAACACAACTCACCTTCACAATGACGTCCATGGCATTTTGGTTTTCCTTCTTCCTCTCTCCAAATGATCTCACATTGAAGGAGCAGAGCTTCAGGGCCAGAGCACTATGGAGGACAAGAGAGAAGAGCAGCAAGGAAGCCAGGCGCAAGGAAGCTGGATGCAGGGACATCTTTGTTCTCCTGGGACTTCCGTCTGGATGAAGAGACAGCTCCCGGCTCACTGACTTATAAAGCCTGCTGATAACAGGAATTACTGGATCCCTCTGGGCCACTTTCACTTCTCTGAGGAACTCACGATCATGGGTTTTAATCCCCAAGGAAATGAAGACAATGGGTTGGCCTTTAGGGAGTTTTCTGTCTTCTTTGCCCTTGTCAGGAAAGTGCATGCTTAATTTAGGCACCAAACCCCTTAAAGTAGGTCATAATCTCAGCGGGCAGGAGTGAGGTGGGGGGGTCAGTTTTGATCTCTGGACTTGTCTCCTATGGTAGCTTGCCATGAACCTTTTTCTGACAGTTCATGAACTTAGAAGTGTCCACCCAGAGGGCACTGGGCTGAAGGAGCCATCTGCTGGGGAAATAAAGATTTGGAGACTACTTGTCAGTGGACACATCCATGCATTGGCTCTTTAACCATCTCCATAGGTGTTATAAGGTGAGGTTCCATTTGAATGAAGTGAGGCAGAGAATACCTTGGGATCTGAGGAAGGCAAGATGGAGGTCCTATGAAGAACAAACGTGTCACAGGCTGAGTCCCTCAGAGGCATCAGAAAGAAACAAGGTACCTGCAGTAAAGTCCCCATCATGGGCGGGGATGGACCGCACAAGCCAAACAGGTGTTTCCAGTGGCTGCCGCGGCCGCGTGCAGGAATGAGTGAGCTGCTTGGCATGATCCTGTAATGTGCACAGATTACTTCGTCATTCCATTCACCAGCAGCCTTGGGCGTAGGGTGAAGAGGGAGCACCACTTAAGATTGTGTAATTCTAGCAAAATTTGCCTGTCTGAACTGAAGGGCCGAGAAAAAAAAAAAAGCCACACCCGTGTTACAGATTCTGTAAAGCTGATTGACTAATAGAGCTGCTGCGACTGCAGAGTCCAATGATCTCGCAGCCATCTTTAGTGCTCTTTAAAGGCCATTTATGGCCAACTTCTGTGCTTGACCTAACATCCTTGTGACAGTCAGCTAAAACCCTTTCGGAATACACAAGAAGAGATGTCTTCAGGTAACAGCTGAGGCCTAAAACATGGATTTTTCCATGTTTTGCTGAAACCACCTACGCTGTATTCTCACCGATGTTTCTTTTGTTTTGTTCCTATAAAAGCATGCCGTGGGGCTGGAGAGATGGCTCAGCAGTTAAGAGTACTGGCTACTCTCCCAGAGGACCTGATGGTGGCTCCTAGCCATTTACAGTGGGATCTGATGTCCTCTTCCAGCAAAAAAAGGTGTAGATGCAGATAGAGCACTCATAAACATAGAATAAACAAATAAGCTTAAAAACTTTTTAAAAGAAAAAATTCTAAAACTGGGGGCTAGAGAGATGGCCCAGCAGTTAAGAGCACTGGATAATTTCCCCGAGGACCGGGTTCAACTCCCAGCACCCGCATAGCCACTCACCATGGTCTATAACTCCAGTTCAGGTGATCTGACACATTCTTCTGGCCTCCTCAGACAAAACACCCATACACATAAATACATGAAGTAATTAAAAATTTTAAAAATCCTTCAAACTGGTTATTGCTTTGGGAAACGGTATTTGGGGAAGCCTGAATCTGTGCTTCTAGGTCAGCTCACTCATATTTGGTTTTCATATTCCCTTTGCAATGAGAGTTATATTCATGCAGATGCCTTTGTACCAGCTGGTGAAACGGGCTCTAAGTTTCAACCTCACATGACAGCTTCTACATAGGGCTGTGCTTGGGCTTACAGAAACTCACCCTCTGAAGGGAAAACCCAACTGCCATGCCTTCAGAATTCTTTGAACTGTCTTTTGTTCTCTTTTTCTGAGACAGAGACTCTAGCTCAGCCTCATTCCTGCCTCTAGTCTCAGATGTAATTCCACACTCTCAGGAATTGCATTTTCTTCTCTTTCGTGGGGTTCAGGTCCCGTGTTTTGTTCCAGATACCACAATGTATTATCCTGGATGAGCTGCGTGTTTTCCTATCTAACGTCTGCCCTCTCGCTAGACATCTCTTCATAGGCCCAGATATCATGTGTGTGAGCCGACCAGGAAAGGATGGGCAGGTAGCAGGTGTTTAATAAATCACTGTTGAATACAAAATGGGGTGCTCAGCTGATTCTCCAAAGCCTGGGTTCTCCATGATAGTACGGATGCTGAGCCAGAAAACTCAGTTTCCCTGGGCAACCAAAGGGACTCCCTTCCCTAGCCACACAGACACAGGAAAACAGTAGCAACCGCCACTGGAATAACATCTTCTATTAATTATTTAATTAGATTAATTAATTAGATTAATTAATTCTCAGGGATTAACTCTGGAAGACTTTTGGGGTCTTACTGAAGCTTGCATTTCAAGTACTCCCCAACACCTCCACGGAGATTCATGTGGCAGAGACTTAGTTCCCAGCACGGAGCTGCTGAGCGGTGGAAACTATAAAAGTTGGCACTTAGGGAAGGTTTTAGGTCATTAGAGCCGTGCCCTGAGGGAGACTGTGGAGCAGTAATCATCTCCCTGGTCTCTTTTGGTTTTCTTCCATGCTCCAGCCCTGAGGGGAGCAACCTTGCTTTAATATCTATTCCTGCTATGAAGCACTTGCCCTTCATGGGCTACACATAAACACAACCTATGTGTCGTGGGCTTGACCTCCAAGACACAGCCAGAATGAACCACTTCTCTACATGAGTTGGTTGCCTCTGGTGTTACAGAGATGGGAAGCTAGCCAACTCGGGGCCAGGTAATTCTCTGTCATGGATCTGTCCAGTGCATTCTAGGATGTCCACCAGCCTCCTGGCTACTTCCAGCTAGGTGCTGGTCTCCTCCACATTGTGACAGTCTCGGGGGTGCCAGGAACCGCTCTAGTTAAGAATGTTGGCTTGGAGGTTAGAACAAATAAACTTCCAGTCACTGGCTGTTCGACCTTGGACATATAACTAAACCTCTCTGTGCCCATTTCTTCACCTTTAAAATGGAAGATAATCGCCTCCATAAAGTACAGCTGTGAAACTTTAGCTTTTACCTGAAACGCTAACTCAGCAGAGCACCTGGTCCTTCATTCGTGTAGATTTAAAAAAAAAAAAAAAGCTATCTCTGAACTAGAGAGATGGCCCAGTGGTTAGGAACACTCGCTGTACAACCACGAGGACCTGGGTTTGGAGCTCAGCACCCATGTAATAACTTGGGTGCAGTCTCATGCACGCCTACCACCCCAGGGTTGTAAGGGATGGAGACAGGGACTAGTTGCCTGCCAGTCTAGCCAAAAACGGCGGGCACTCCAAGTTCACAGAGACCCTGCCTCGAAGGAAAAAGATGAAGAGGGGTGGAGGCGAACTCCCGACACCCTCCTTTGGTGTCCCCATCCACACACACATGCATGAGCATACACCATACACACTGCACTCATATGTAGCATACACACAGAGAATTAGAGAAGCAACGTCTAAAAAACCACAGGAAAAGCACTGCTCTTTCCAGCTTACAGATGAGGAGTTAGAAAGCAGGAGATAAAGACAGTGAGCCTCAGCCACTGGCCATGGTGTGACACCAAAAGCATCCATTTGGTTTCTCAAAACTAATTCTCTCGGCTAATTCTTTGTTTACAGATACAAAAAGGCCCATATAACTTCAGACCTTGCCTGACCGATCAGACTCTGAGCTGGTGGTGTTGCGATGCACAGGCTGGGTCTGCCAGGCTGGGTGGAACTAGGGAGGGTCCAGTGAGATAGTGGCTTTGGGCCCAAAATTCAGGGCCGGGCCAAACAAATTAATAATCAAGGCAATTTAATTCCTTATTTTGTAAAAATGAAAATTTATTCTTTAAAAAATCCATTATGAACAGAGTATCGATATCTTAGATAAGGCCACCGATGGGACCTTTCATTTGCCTTGACTTCTTCACTTTGCCTTGATCCTTCCGCTGGCAACTGCTGGTGTGCAAAACCACTCTGTGGAGCCCCTTGAGGGTGGACAGCAGGGAGGCAGCGCCCTCTTCTGGCAGATGGGAGCACAGTTTCTCTGCTAGGAAGCTGGTCTTGTCTTTGCGTCAGAACTAGAACACTGTTCCTCAGATTTCCATCATAAGACAAAAGCCGCAGTCGGACAAGCAGTGCCATTGCAGCCGCTTCGCCAATTCTTCCCACAGGCAGCGCCGGCCATGGCCTTTCTTTTACTGCTTTTGGTGCAAAAAGGCAAGGCAGGCCTTTTCTAAAGCAGCTTGTTGGTATCAAGCGGCCCGTTCCAGCATGACCGTAAGAGGTCGCTGTGAGGAACTGGCCCAAGATTCAGAAGAAGCAGCTCCTTGTTTTAAGGGCTTTGTGGTGTCTTAGATTCAACTTACTTATTTACGTTTAGCTTCTTTCTTTGAAATCATCACATACAAATCTCAAAAATAACGGAAAGCGCTCACACACTCTACCCAATTTTTCCTTTTCACTAGCTGCTATACAAGTTTTTCATTCAGGAGTAGGCTTCAAACACAGCACCTCTTTACCTTTAAACATCAGGGTATGTTTCCCAAGAACAAGTAGGTTTCCTTGACAACCAGACGGGTATTACCAAAACCAGGTTTAACAACTATACAGAAGTGCTATCCCATCTATAACATTACTCCAGTGTTGTCAGCCATTAGAATTTTTTTCCTGGATCCAACCTAAATTATGTATTTGCTTAGTAGTCTTGTCTCAGGTCACTTTTAATCTGTTACTGGAGTTGTTTGGTCAGAAGCGGGGCCCTGGCATTCCTGACCGGCCAAGCTTGCCACCCGTCCTCCACGGACCTTAAAGAGACGAGTGGAAAAGGAGAAAGGAGATCTCTTCAGTTGGTCACGCTGGGGAGAGGGACACACAGGCCAGTGACCACCAAGTCTGTCCTTGGAATCCTGACAGGAGGGTTAGGTTTAGATGGAAGACCAAAGGCACAGATGAACAATGCCGGTCAAGGTGTGGCCCTGCCCATCACTGGTCGGCCATCATCTTGTCTGTATTGAAAGTTGGTCCAAAATGTCAGAACTGCATCAGATCTCTTCCTGGGAGACAAGCTCCCTTCTGGCTGACATGAGGTTGGGATCCCTTAGAATATCTTTGTTCCTACCAGAACTGACATGACTCCTTGCTCAGTTGTGACCTGAAGCTTGCGGGAGTGCAGTCCAGTTACTTAAAG